CCTCATATGCTGCAAGAGCATAAGCACGAGATAATGAAGGCAGTGGAACTGTATTCAAGTTCTAAAAGCGCAATACATTATATTTTTTCATTCAACCACATTAGAAATTGATGCACTTTTTCTTTCTTCCTTTCTACAGCAAGTGCCTTTGCAGAGCCACAAGTCCATAACAGAATCTGGGAATAAGTGCCGAGTTCATCCCAAATGCCTTTTAATTTGGTGTAGTATAAGTCATGCCCTGTTGCAAGGTATTCATCATCTCAATTTTCAGTTGATGAATGTGAGGAGTGTTGCCTTATGAAAATCGTTCTTCAAGGTCATTCTAAATCTCAAGTGTTGTCACGAAATATGCTACATTGTCATGGAGAGTAGGATGAAGAGAATTAAAGGTCCAAGAGACTACCATTGAATTGCATTTGATCCATGCCAATTCTTCCAGCGAACCAGTTGATCAATGTTTGACAGGTCCATTCACAAAGCCAAATCTACTTTTGGCCTAAAGTGCATTTGTCATTGCACAACGCCATGTGTGATAATTATCTTCTCTAAAAAGATAGGTTACTAAAGTTGTGCTTGGGTTATCAGAGGCATGAAGAACATAGGGTGATGAGGCATCATAATTGGATTGGATGGTATTTGATTGGTTGTTATTTGTGTTATTGTTTAAAGCATTGGAAGTCGTAGAGATGAGGCTCTTTTCGGCCATGACAAAGAAAAATAAAATGAAGGAATAATGCCCTAGGATTCCAACTGCTCTGATACCATGTTAGGAGGTAAAACGGAGATGCCAAGCTCATGTTTTCACTAGGAAATCAGTTTATATATAGGAAAGGACCTCCTAATAAGCCCTCAAATAGAAGATGCAAATTGATACTACTGATACTAAAAATAATACATAACAAGATTGTCAAAGAGAAATATGGAAAGTAATTATTTGTTGTTGGTAAGTTTGATTTCTTCCAATATGGAAAGTCTAATTTTTTCTAATAAGTAGTTTGAAAGTCCACGCTTTTTGTATAAACCTGGAAAAACAACAAGCAAACTATTTAATAGCATAGAAATCTAAATTAAAATAAAAAGCTAATTAGCAATAATACTAGTAAAAGTTAAATATATTAATCTCCGATAAAGACGCTAAAAACTTGTTATGCATTTTACATAATGTAATTATACAGCAAGTGTACGGTATCAAATTTTGTAATATAATAACGAAGTTAGGATGTTGAGACCATAGAGATTGATATTTAATTTCTACAAGTACTATAATGGTGTTGCTCTCATTTTATCTAGATAAATGAAATTTGGAATCAATGGTTTACCTAAATTAACGTGATGAATGTACGAATTCAACAATTAAATGCTAGTTGGAAGAATAATAAAGATGAGAAAGTTTACGGTTACTATTTAACTCAATTATCAAATATGATTCTCAATTATATAATTATTTCCAATCAAATTTTCAGGTTTATAAGCAATAACGCTAATTTAATTTTACTCCATCTCTTGAGTGCTGATTAAAACTTATTTCTATGGTTTAATTTCGAATTGAAATCTAGAAATTATCAAGTTCGTGGTTTTTATGTGCAATGTGCTTCAAAGATTCTATAATTTATCTCGAAATCTATAAAACATAGGTTGTGTTATTCTATGGTCGTTCCTAAATTTCCCTCTCCCGAGTATTGAAACTTAAATAATCAATTCATTTAATTAGTGGCCAATTAATTGAAAATTTTAAGAATAAATAATGCAACTAAACATGATTGAAAAATCTCAAAAAAATAAATATCTAAATGTCAAAACATAATTTCAAGTTTTGGTTATATCAAATTCAAACTAGATATTTAGTTTTTGACGGAAGCCATAGAAATAATCTAATTCAAGTAAAACAACATAGAGAAGAGAATACAAAAACTAGTTCTGGTATATCTTCAATCTCCTTTGTGATGTTGTTCTTAATTTCTCCTTGATTTCTTGATGATTGCCAGGTTGATTGTAGTTTAGAAGTATTCTCTCAATTGGTATTTATCTCATCTTGAAGTTCCAAGAGAAGTTGGAATTGGATTGACATTAAAAAGATAGAAAAAATTCAAAACTCTCCTCTCGCCAGAGGTGCCCTGATGCTACAAATCAGCGGCACCTTGGTGCCACAAGCATGGCACTACGGCACCTTGTTTCTATGAAATTTCAGAAATAGTGGTGCTATGGCGACCACATTCGGGTAGAAAATCAGCAATGCACATCTTTTAGTATTTTTTTAATGTTTTCTCTCGATATCTGATTGAGACAATTCAAATTGGAAAGATGATCCAAAAGGTTACAACTTTACATTAGATACCTTTCTCTAATATGAACGTTTACTATGTTAAAAATGGGTCTCAATCTTCAACTAAAAATTAAGAACATACTTGTGTGGTTGAAAATTTTTTTGTGAATATATTTTGATAATATTTCACTCATTTTTTGACTTCTAATTGCATCTTATTGACTTCCAGTAATCTTCAATTTTTGGTTTATGATCCGAATCGAACATTGAAAAGTTGCAATTGAATCCTCAACTTTGAGGTTCACCATTTTTTTTTTTGTCGTTATTCACTTCTTTTGTTCAATTTCGATTCCAATGATCAAGTTTCACCTAATCAACATTATTTTCTCCTTGACTCATATCAATATTACTCTTTTCTTGTAGTTTTGTGTCATTAACACCAATTCACCTAACTTATAAAACAAATTGAAAACACAAATCAAAATGTTCCGAAATTCATAGAAATAAACTAAATTTCAAGATTAAATGGCGTCGAAAACATGAGTACAATGCACTGATCACTAACCATTAGCCGACTCTGACAACTAAATTGTAAATCACCGAAAAACGTCTTCAATTGTGCAACTTGCACTTTTCAAAATTCTGAACTACTTTTCTCTCCATTGGATCACCAAGAACAAATTCGTTTTGAAGCATTGGAACTCCAAGCGTCTCTTCTCCAAACATCAAAACTTTGAAGGCTTATAGGTGAAGGCAGGATTTTTGGTATTTTTAGATCTTTTTGTGTTTTGATCTTTGGTTGAAGCAAAAGATCATGTAATCAGTGGTGAAGGTTGGCATTTTAGATCATGGGGCACAATCAAACCCTATACAATTTAAATAATTTGTTTTTGTTTTTTGAATAATTCATACTTGACCGAGAAAATATAGATTTACATTTAAAAAACATTCATTCATTAATATCTTGCTCATCATTTTCATCTATTTGATTTCGAATCATCCTTTTATTAATATTTTGCTCATCACAAAAAAATACATTTTTAATTTAAAGAATTTATAATGTGTTTGATACAAAAAATCAATTAAAATAATCAATTCAAGTAGTTGAATGGAAAACCATATAACCATATTCCATACTAATAATCAATCTAATAAACACAATTCGTTAAATATAAGTCAAATTGGACACAATCATTTTAGACTCATTCCATATACACAAGTTGATAAGAGAAAATACTAAATTAGGTATTAATTAGTTGAAAATTTGATTGGAAAGTGAAGATTTGTAGTAGATATGATAATTCGTAGAGAATATATGGGAAATTTTTTAAAAGGGGTGAGGGAGAGACTCGCAAGAAAGAAGGAGAAAAGATAAAAAGGTTCAAAGATCTATTGTGATTTTTCCCTATTTGATGGGGATTAAAATCAAATTTTTAATAAATTTTGATAATAGTTAAAAAGTTGTGGGTCTCCATGAATTATGTTATTAAAATTAGCTATTAACTTTGATTGACCTCTTAGGACCGGCTACTGTTTGGAATATGTAATTGATCTCTGGAAAATATTCTCTTTTATGAAACAAAGGCTCAACCAATGACAAAATAATGTGTGGGATGAATTACCAAGAATTAATCTTGTGGTTGAATGAAGAGATCTTTGTAATATGTTTTGAATCTAAGTATATGATCTTTAATATAAAACAATGATTCAACTTACTTTGGGATGGATCTATGGTTTCATATTTATAATAGATAGTGTTTAAGCTTAAATACGATTGGAAAATTGTGTAAAAATCGAATCAAGATTCTTCTTGGAACAAACTGCTGCTTGAGCACTAAATTGGCGCCAAGCAAGCGGCAAGCCCACCGCTCAAGTGGGCTGTTGATGGACAGTGAGTGCTAGTGCTCCTGCTTTGAGCTCTCAAGCGCGCTTCTCATGGGTAGCGAGCAATCGTCTTCTCGATTCTTGGATGTCTTTGACTCTGTTTAGGACTTTACTAACCCCACCTCTTTTGACTTTAATTACAACATAATAACCCAAGATTTTGAACATGGGAATATTCAATTACAATTAGGACCTAACAATTTCAATATTACTAAACTGTAGAGGTTTGAAATATATGTTTTATACATGTATTATATTTAAAATAACGAATAAATTAAGTGCTTAAATGTTGATTTGTAAACGAATTGATTAAAGTTTTATTTTTGAAATTATTTTAAATGTATTCAATTGTTAAATTATAGAGAAAAACGCAGAGGTTTGTTTTGAACAATACATTCTCTCTTTTACGATTTATAAAAGCTATTTCAAGGAAAAAAATGTTTAGCCTCTATTCTCCTGGAAAATGGATTATTTGCAACAGCCAAGAAGACCCCTTTTTTGATTTATTTTAATGGAAAAACAATGACCATATCTGACAAATGACGGGCCAATATTGAAGTCAACATAGGTGGCTCTCGTGGATATGTACTTATCGCCATTCAGCCGAGTTGACTGTTGATCATTAAATTAAGAGGGGCATTGTGGTTATTTTGCCATGCATGTGGAGGGTAAAATTGTCAACTTGGAGGAAAAACTACATTTACCCTACTTTTCCCACTCAAACGTACGAATAGTAGATAAATATGATATTGAAAGAATTGCCGACAAATCTATCAATGGGATAACGACGAGTAGGTAAATATAACTTTTTGAAATAATAGAGGTACTTTGGGATTAGTCAATTATCCTTTTGTGAGAGCTAGCAGGCCGCATTCGGTAATATCAGCCACAAGTTATATCATTTTTAGGCTTTTAACTGCAGTGATCTAACAAGATAATTGTCCAAGAAAATGGCCGCCAACCTAATTGAAACGGAGGCTACGTGCAAGAATGACAGAATAAGCGAATTACGAGCTTTTGATGACACAAAAGCTGGTGTCAAAGGCTTAGTTGATGCTGGTATTACCAAGGTACCAAGAATATTCATTCAACCACCAGATGATTTCGACAGGAAATCCAATCCACAATTTGAGTTTCCGTTGATAGACCTCGAAGGTTTTCGTGATGATCCTAATGGGCGAAAAGAGATAATTGACAAAGTTCGAGATGCAGCAGAGACATGGGGTTTCTTCCAGGTGATCAATCATGGGATCCCAGATAGTGTTTTGGAGGAAATGTTGAATGGAGTGAGGAGGTTCTTTGAACAAGATACAGAGGTCAAGAAAGAATGGTACACCCGAGATTACTCGAAAACTGTAGTATATAACAGCAATTTTGACTTGTATAGTGCCCCGTCAGCCAACTGGAGGGACACCCTTTTCTGTCAAATGGCTCCTCATCTTCCAAACCATGATGAATTGCCCTCTGTATGCAGGTAATTGTTGTGTTTTTCCTATAGCATGTGTACGGTATCAAACAAGTAATACTGGAGATTTTCAATTTTAGATAATCGTTCTCATAGAGAATATTATTTCTTCCAAATATATATATTTTTTCTACTTTTACTTGATAAAAAACAAATTATAATTTATCGATTGTTAGAAAACAAATTATAATTTGTCGATTGTTGATTTAAATTATACTAACTAACTTGATGTTATTGGAACACACGCAATAATCGAATTAGGGTATTATGAATGAAGGAGAGATTAGGCACACAATTTTATTTATCGATTACCCTTAATTCTCTAATCAAGATTTTTTACTAAATGTGGTGTTCGGTTGAATTCTTTTAAAACATTTAATTTACCTCTATCCAATTCAAATTGATTTTAGTTAATTAAGCCAATTTCATATTTCTATATGAATTAGAATACAAATTAGTTAAACGCCTTAAATTTCTAAGAATTCATGTGAGGGCCGCACACTAGAAATGACACGAACCCATATAGCAATAGTAGCTACGAAACCCACACAAGATTGATTCAATCCCAAGACAGCCAAGAGTCAATGCTTAGGGTTTGATCCAAAAATATTGAATCAAAGAACCAATACAATCGCAACAATATGTTGATCCCGTGATCACAAGACCCAAGAATCTCATCTGGATTTTTTGAAAGCCACATGAAATAAATCTTAATAAGTTTGAAAATTAGTTCAATGAAGAACCAGATTAAAAGTAAAATATGCTCACAAATAATCTCTCAAGTTGTATGTACAAATTATTGTTCTACAATGAATATAATGAGTTTTATATATAGGAACCCATGTAAACCCTAGTTAAAACGGAATATAAGTCTAATAATTACAAAAGATACCAAAAAATAGAGTTTTTACATAATTAAGAGATCAAATTGCTCTATGTGGGGTTGCATAGAGTTAATCCATGCACTCGCATAGACCAACATAAAACCTGAACTTTAGTCTCGGGTTGGCTCTGTGTAGCCGCATTCATAGATATACTATGTGGTCGCATAAGCCAATTCTTCAGCCCCTCCCTTTGTTGCTCGAACCAAGTTGAACCATCTTGACTCTTCTCTTGAGCCCAACATGAAACTCGCTTCTTTGCTTGTCATGATCAATGTGTCGTCTACCATAGCTTGAGCAAGTAGTCCCATTGTTTCTTTAACCCTCTTTGTTGTGACCTAGTCATAGGCTCTTCTTTAACGATCAATGGATCCTTGTCTGGACTTGCCTTCGTGCCATGGATCACATCATCTCCCTTCCTTTGTGAAAGAATTCGACCTCGAATCTGTACCTGCATCAAAGAGAGAAAGATCGGAGATATTAAAAGTAATCGAAACATTATACTCACCTGGAAGATTTAGTTGTAAGCATTTTCATCAATTTTTTCAAGGACTTGAAATTGATCATCTTCCCGTGGCTGCAATTTCAATTTTCTTTGTTCTGGAAAGCATTCCTTCCTCAAGTGTACCCAAACCTAGTCCCCGAGTTCAAATGTAATGCTCTTTCATCCATTGTTTGCTTGAGAAGCATAGTGCTTGTTCTTCTCCTCAAGTTACAATCTTACTTTTTCATAAAGTAATTTCACCAAGTAAGCTTTTTTCTTTCTATCTAATCTATCTCTTTCATCAATAGCTAAAGGAATTAAATCCAAAAGTGTTAGTGGACTAAAACCATATACAATTTCAAAGGGTGACAAAGTAGTAGAATGCGTGGCTCTATTATATGCAAATTCAATGAATAGTAAGCACTCTTCCCAACTCTTCAAATTCTTATTAACTATAGTGCGTAAAAACTGTATCATGGTCCTATTAATAATCTCAGTTTGTCCATCGGTCTGTGGGTGTCAAGTAGTATAAAATAATAACTTGGTGTCTAACTTATTCCACAAAATTCTCCAGAAGTGACTAAGGAATTTAACATTCCTATCTGATACAATACTCCCAGGAATCTGATGTTTTTAAATCCATGTTCTTGTTCAGCACCCTATTGAAACCTTACATTTTTCTTGACAATTTCCATAAGTGGTGTGGTAATTGTACTAAAGTTTTTAATAAAACACCTATAGAAGCTAGCCAAACTATGACAACTTTTTACCTCAGTTATACTTTTAGTTGTTGACCATTCTTTTATAGCCTTGATTTTCTCCTTATCCACTTTTATCCCTTTGGTACTAACAACATATCCAAGAAAAACAACCTTTTTCATGCAAAATGTACAATTTTTAAAATTAGCGTAAAATTTTTCTTGTATTAAGAGCACAAGCACACATTTTAAATGCAATATATGCTCATTTAAGTCCTCACTAAATGCCAAGTTGTCATTGAAGTAAACTACTATAAATTTACCTATGAACGCATGCAAAACATGATTAATTAATCGCATAAACATGCTAGGTGCATTAATAAGTCCACATGGCATGATTAACCACTCATACAACCCATATTTTGTTTTAAAAGTGGTTCTCCATTCATTTCCTTCCCCCATCCTAATTTGGTAATAACCACTTGTAAGGTCAATTTTATTAAATATACATGAGTCATGTAATTCATTTAACATATCATCTAACCTAAGAATAGGATGATGATATATTACTGTTTTATTTTTTATGGCTCGATAATCTACACACATCCTCCATGTTCCATCTTTCTTTGGCACATGTTGCACTGGCACATCAGATGGACCCACACTCTACCTTACATACCCCTTGCTCATCAATTCCTCCACTAGCCTTTGAAGTTCCTTGGTCTCCTCGGGATTACTTTGGTAAGTCAGCCTGTTTGAAATGACAGCTCCATGTACAAAGTCAAGTTGATATTTAATGCCTCTAATAGGTGGTAACCCATTAGGCATGTCTTCTGGAAATACGTCTTCGAATTCTTGCAACAAAGAAGTAACTCAAACTAGGGAGGGGTGTGTTAGATTCCTCAAGATTGAGGAGTGACTTCTCATAAACCAACAAGATCATAGGTTGCTCCCCTCAACTATTGCCCTCTTCAACTCACTCCCTTTGGTAAAGAAATCCACTTTCGACTTTTCTCTCCTCTCGAAAGGCTCTTTTTCTTTTCTTTTTTGGGCTCTACTCTTTTTTCTCTCCATCAGCCACCTCATTATCTTTTCTCTTGCTCTCTATTCCTCTCAATCTTTTTCTTCCTCGGTTCTCAATTTGATTTGATCTTCATACACTTGTGTCAGTGTTAACGGTGCAAGAGTAATAGATTTTCCATCCTTGGTAAGCTGTACCTATTTTTGTACCCATTATGCATCACCTTCCTATCATATTGTCATGGCCTACCTAACAAATGTGCCCAGCTTGTATAGGAACTACATCACACAACACTTCATCTCGATATCTACCAATTGAGAAACTCACCAATGCTCTCCTGTTCACCTTAATCTCTCAACATTCATTCAACCATTGTAGTTTGTAAGGCTTAAGATGTTCTAACATGGCTAACCCTAATTTATTACAAGCGCAATGCTAGCCACATTTGGTACAACTTCCCCCATCAATAATCATTCTACATACCTTGTTGTTGATATGACACCTCGTATGAAATATGTTATCCTGTTGTTGTTCCAAGTCATTCGCTTTGATTTGAGCACTAAAAGCTCGCCTTGTAACCAATAACTTGCCCACCACACACTCTACATTTCTTACCATCACTAGACTCTTCCAATTTTGGCATGTCTTCGTAGTCATCCTCACTACTTTTCTATTGTCTCATAAAATCATTGCCTTTTTGTTTGGTCATTGAGAAGCAATGTGTTCCGGTACCAAGCACCTGACACATTTGATGTCTTGACTCCTAGATGGTTGGGATTTTGCTTTGGATGTGCCCTTGCTAGAAACTTCTTCTTTTCCTTTCGATAGTTTAGTTCCACCCTTCAAAATAGCCCCATCTCTCTTGTTGTTATCCTACATCGATTTTCAAGAAAGATTAGAAGGCGAAGAACCGATGGATATCTAGCTGTCCCTCTTCGTCTTCAGTTGTCTCTCCACCTTCATAGCTACATATAGCATGTCCTCCAACTCTACATAATGTTGCAATTCCACTACATTAGCTATTTCCCTATTCAGATCATTAAAAAATTGGGCCATGGTGGCCTCCCTATCCTCTTCAACATTCCCTTTAATCATAACAATCTTCATCTTTTAATGATAATCCCCCACACTCTAGAACCTTATTAGAGGACTTGCAATTTTTGATGAAACTTCCTATAGTAATGATTATGCACGAACCTCTTTCTCATAATAGCCTTCAATTCTTCCCATATATTAATAAGCCTCTAATGATTCCTCCTCTTAGATGTCAATACTCGATCCCACCAAGTAAAAGTATAATCGGTAAACTCAAGTACCGCAATCTTTACTTTCTTATCCTTGGAGTAGTTGTGGCAATCAAATATCAACTCTATCTTCTTCTTCCACTCCAATTATGCTTTCGGATCACTCACTTCTTTGAATGTAGGAATTGTCATTTTGATATTGTCCATAGTTCTATCAACTCCATTTCCAGCTAGATCTCTATCCCTCATTTCATGCTAAACTCATCTATCCCTCATTCTTCCTAACTTGGCATCCTCTAATCATCATCATCATCAATGTCACTACCCACTTCACATTTCCCACAACCTCCATCCTAGGCTACCGCCTACATTGCCTTCTTGCATTGGGAACTCTCATAGGTTGTTCCCCACATAAATTAGCAATCAATGGGTCTTGTCTCTCCATTCACGCTTCTTACATATCCAACGCGTCTTTCACATCTTCAAACAACGTCTCGAACCTTCATATCAACTTATTCAACATGTTGACTTGATTATTATTCCCGCTTGAAGTAAAGTTGTCTTTGTCAGACATACTAATTCTAAAGTAATATTTGCTTCACATGAATGCAGTGTCAACTTCTTCAACATTCTAATTCTAAAGTAATATGTGCAAAGGATTTTCTCTGGCTACGTTTGGCTTGAGACATAACAGGTTTGCCAGAGAGGGCAGTAGCATACGATTTCTTACCCTAAACCTGTGATGTCTGGACACTTGCTGGAAATTTAGCTTGACTAGAGGGCTCGAAAGCATTGACTGTACCTCGTGGTATAACTCGAGGAGGTTGAATTTTGGCTTTTGTGACTGGGTGGTTCTGATTTTTTTTCAATGCTACACTTTCGATCAAATTAAAGGCCAAATTCACTCTCTCAAGGTATAGGATGTGTTGAGATCAATGGAAGAGTCATAGTAACCTGATTCTGTCCAGAAACAGGTGAATTGACCGCCTCGTTTTGTATGCCAAGTTGTGTGATTCCCAATGCAATATTTTTGACTGAATTGGACTCAATGGATATCACCATAGGAGTTTTTGAGGCTTCCTGATTTAATGAAGATGATCCCATGCCTGGAATCTGACCAGAAATTGAAGTATTCACAGGGCCAGACTGCACTCGGTCAAAAGAATAGGTTGACTTCGTAATTGATGGAATTGGAACTTAAGCAGGTGTTGTTGTAACTTCAATTAGGTTTTCCATGGTCGAATTAGCGTATTGGAGCAAGTTCGGACCTTCAATTGGTTGAAAATTGGAGTTCGTGCTCGATCGGTTAATTCTTGAGTTCAATCCAAAAATTTGTGTTTGGTTGATGAATTGGTGCATTAGGTGCGCCTTGAAGAGGGAGAAGATAGGAGAGGTGGTCCGCAATCATGGGTCAAAGCACCATAAAATTGAAGCCAACATAAGTCAAATAACATAAATAAAATCAACACATAAAATTGAGAACTAGAATATTGAAATTTTGAATTAAAGGATCTCTACAAACTATATTGTTCACCCTCTATAAATGTTTAGCTACGCATACGAGATGGAGAAAAATAATTAATTATTATAAAACACATCACCGGATTTTGAGTAAGTTGTACATAATTGGATGAATCTTGCACCAAGATCGTCTTTTCCCCCCATAATTCCGCTTCTAAAACCTTGTTCTTGCTTTTCTTTCGTGGGTGTTCTCTAATTCTCAAAAGTGGTGAACCCTTTCTCATCTAGATTAGGTCTTTATATGGTATTCACTTCAAATAAGTGTCAGAATGAAAGATAAACTCGAAAAAGAATAAAAGAAAATAGAATATAAAATATTGAAAAATCGCCCAAGTGGAGTCGATCATGGGTCATCACGAGTTGCAAACCTACAGCTTAAGTGCGGCATACCAAAAGTCCCAGCGGCCATGGATTGGCTACTGGTTTGCAAACCGAGGCTAGGCCACAGCCACATTTTCTATTTTTTGTACTTTGGTCCTCATACTTTTTAAAACTTCTATTTTCATCCCTGATTTTCTTAATTCGTTCCAATTTCAGCCTTCTTTAATTTGCATGGTTCTTCACTTTGAATTCTATATTATTGTCCCTTGTCCTTCAAAATTATAATATCTTGCCCCAACGCAAGTTCCAAAAGTTAGCGATTTGGTCCCCAAGTTTTCCAATTGTCAATTTTCACTCCTGAAACTCTTGAATCTCACCAATTGTTCCAACACTTCTTCCAACTGATTGATTGAAACCCGGATGATCTTTAAGTGCCCAAATCAATCTCTATTTGGGCTCAAATCACCACTTTTTATACCAATTGCACTCAACCTTGATCTTTACAGGCAAATCACAAAATTATACATAATTAGGTAGAAATCTCAGTTAGTTATAATTTATCAAAAATTAAAAGCATAAATAAGTGTATAAAACACATTTATTAGTAATGCTAATAACAAGCTATTTAAGAGTACTTTAATGTTTCTTTCCAAGTTAAAGTTATTTGTGGTTATACAAATTAATTAGACTTTGAGAAATTAAGGTTGTAAGGGAGGCACTCATCTTGGTCAATAGTACATGAACTATTTTCTTGTTCAACTACAGGATGCTGAATGCTTGGCTAGTTCAAACATATAGAGGCTGAAGATTTCCACTCTTCATGCTTGGAGAACTATATTAGAATGGATCACATCAAAGACAACCCCAATAGTAACAAGACAGTAAAGACGAAAAGAAGATTCAGAGCAACTTAATTTCTCTGTCAATTGATCTCATATTCTTCATTTCTGCAGAGATATTATGATAGCGTTTATCAAGCATGTTTTGAAGCTGGGAAGTTGTTTGTTTCAAATATTGTCTGTTGCTCTTGATCTAAAACTGGATCACCTCGAAGACATGGGATGTGCTAAGGGGCTTGCTCTCCTGTGCCATTACTATCCTGTGTGCCCTCAGCCTGAACTGACTCTGGGCACTAGCCAGCATGCTGATAGTGATTTCCTCACAGTCTTACTAAACGACCAGGTTAGCGGCCTCCAAGTTCTCCATCAAAACCAGTGGGTTGATGTTCCTCCGGTTCGTGGAGCTCTTGTAGTCAATATTGGAGATCTTCTACAGGCAAGTGTTTAATTGGCTCATCTGTTAGAGACCTGACACATTCGCGATTTTTATAGATCGTTGGCAGCAAAACTTATACTAGTACTTGTATTTTTTTGAAGTTTGTGTTCAACAATCCTATCATAAGTATCTTTACTTTCTGTTCTTTATAAATTCTGTGGTAAAGTTTATTAACTTTTCATCTGTGATTACGGGTTTTTTTTTTTTTTTTTCCAGCTCGTATCAAACGACAGGTTTTTCAGTGCAGAACACAGAGTACTTGCAAACAATGTTGGTCCAAGAATTTCAGTGGCATGTTTCTTTAGAAGTGATCTATCAGCATCTCCAAAGCTTTATGGACCAATTGAAGAACTTCTATCAGAAGATAATCCTCCAAAGTACAGAGCAACTACTATGAAAGATTACCTGACCTACTTCAACACAAAAGGGCTGGACGGAACTTCTGCACTGTTGCATTACAGGATTTAGAGTTGAAACAAGGGAATATATGACGAAAATTCGTTCAGGCTCTAAATTTTTAGAAACAAACTGGAAAAATATCTAGGAATAACCAAAGGGAATAACCCAATTTATAGTTACAATAAAACTGCTCTATAAATGAACTCATGCAAATCAAGAAAATCGCAAGACCGCCTAGTTTTTGTGAAGTTATGAGATCAGATGTATTACATAACATATATTTTAGGACAAACTTTATGTCAATTTCTGTGTTGTTCTCTTCATGTTTGTTGATTTTAATTTTCAGCATCTGGCACTCTGATAAAATCCAACTTTCACATGTTCCTTTCAAAATCAAGGCCTTTTTTTTCATGTCATTTAATGTGTCGTACATATGCCTGTTATACCATCCTATGCTTCTGGTCCTCTGGACTGATTGTTAAAATACAAACACTAAGAACCAGATTGCAGAATATAATCTCAAAACACTAATTGCTCGACCGAAATGTTGAAAAGACATTTAAAAGTTTAATTAAGTTGTTGAAGAATGGACAAACTTCTTGTTTAAATTATGTCTTCAATTCACCCTCACATTTAGGCCATAATCAGTTTTTCATCAAAGACTTGAAGCACAATTTTTCAGGTGGAGACAAGAATAGAATCAAGGACCTCTGCCTGTTTCAATATCGGTATGAATTGATTGCAATAATGACAATCATGAGATAAATAAGTACAAAATAAGAACACCTAAATTTATGTGGAAACCCAATATGCGAAAAATTGTGAATACTCTCAATTGATATCTAAGCTCTATAACTCTCAAGATGTTGTTGAATGTAATTTGGAGATATGACAACGTGGAATATATAAGAAGCCTCTTTTTGGAGTTCTAGTTGAAGAAGAAAACTTAAAATCACGAAAAATCAGAAAAACTTCGTCGAGTGCCACCTTCTCAGTGCACGAGCCCAGCATCCGTTCACAAAACAGGGAGCCAGCGCCCCTCCAAGGCATTTTTCTCCATCTCATAGTCCTCTTCTAAGTTAATCCTTGATACAATTTGAACCTCATCAATTAGGATTATCAAACGAAAACTCATTAAACATCCTTTATCAAACCAAAAAATCTTTTCTCATGTATTCTAGAGCCTCTATGTGGAAGGCTTCTGAGGAAAAAAAAAAGCTGTTAAAGGCTTAGTTGATTTCAGGATTGTTAATATAACAAAAATTCTACTCAGCGTAAGAAGATCATTATGAAGTGAGTCGAGAATCAAATGATGTTAACCTCCATGCTTCTCTCATGTACACACAAGCCATTTTGTCTCTATCCATTTTTCTAGGTGCCAAATCATGGAATCCCCCTTTATGTTTTAGATGTGATGATCGAAGGAATTCTCAAGTTTTATGAACAAGATGCCGAGGTAAAGAAAGAGTATTATTCTCGTGGTCATATGAAGAAGGCGATTTGTCGTAGCAATGTGAATGTTTATGGATCATATTCTGCTAATTGGAGGAACACTGGCCATTTCTATGATGTCCTTGTTGATAATTGTATAAACCAATGTGATACTCATTCGATGAATCAAATACAAAGAGAAAAATGAAGAGAATGAGAAGAAAAACCAAAAAACTAAAGCAACCAAGGAATTAAGTTTAATAATGTATTACAAGAATCCTACCATAAAAAGGAAACTACCAAAATCAAATAATATTATTCTATATAAATAATATTATGTTACTATATTTTATATTCCCAACATTCCTTTTCAAGCTTATGATGCTACTGCAAGAAGCAGCTAGAGTTTGTCAAACAAAAAACGAAAACGATGAACTGACTGAGACTTCGTGAAGAAGCTAACAAGCTGCAATGATAAAGAGACAAAAGGTAGGAAAATTGTGCCAATCTGCGAATGATGACGAACCAAATGACATTCAATTTCAATATGCTTTGTGTGTTCATAGAACACAGAGTTGTGAGAGATTTGAATAACACTTTTATTAGCACAATACATAAGGGTTTGAGAGGATGGAGGAACACCCATGTCTGCAAGTAACCAACGAAACCATACAATCTCAATGGTTGTGAATGCCACAGCTCGATATTCTGTCTAAGTAGAGGAACAAGAAACAACAATTTGCTTCTTACTTTCCTAAAAGTTAAGGAAGTCATCCAAAAATATACGATAGCTAGTAGTGGACTTGTGATTAGTGTGGTTATTGGTCCAATCAGCATCAAAGTATGCATAGAGCACTAAAGAAGAGGTCGAAGGAAACAAAGGACTCTGAAAGCAAGTACCATGAAGATAGCATAAAATATGAACAACAGCTGCCCAATGAACTATAATAGGAGCTGAGATAAACAGATTAATAATCTGAACAGTATAATCAATAGCTAGACGTACGATGGTGAGATAAACTAGACATCTAACAATTGTGAGATACAATGTAGGATCAGTTAAAGGTATACTATCAGAGGGTAAATAACAAGCGTTGGACTCAAGAGGAGTATCAACAGTTTTATTATCAGTAAGATGAGCACGCTCAATCACATCCATAGCATACTTGGATTGAGAGAAAATATAAACTCTAGTAGGAGAAGCAATTTCTATTCCCAAAAAACAAGATAATACGCCCAAGTCCTTCTTTTCAAAACTCGAGCCAATTCTGATTTTAAATCAGTAATCCCATCGACATCATTATCAATAATAATCATATCATCCACATGTAGTAAAAGTAGAATGCGACCAGCTGAAGTGCATTGAAAGAATAGGATAGAGTGATGATGACTGGACGTAAAATCAAGAGAGCGAACAATAGTGGAGAATTTCTTGAATCAAGCACGAGGTGCTTGGTTGAGACCATAAATTGCCATTTTGAGTTTGTAAACATATCTAGTAGTGTGCGAGAGACAAGGAGGAAGGAACACATAAGCATCTTATTGAAGATATCCATTTAAAAGGCATTTTGACATCCAATTGAGAGAGTCTCTGCCGACGAACAAATACACCGCAATAAGTGTACGAACATTAGTAATCTTGACAATAAGAGCCAAAGTCTCCTCATAATTTAAATCATACTATTAATTAAAATCTTTAGCAACCAATTTAGCCCTTTAACGCTCAGCTAAACCATCAAATATGCTCTTAATCTTATAAACCCAACGAGAACCAATAACATGTTTATTTGGAAGTAATGTAACCAAATTCCAAGTGTTTGTCTTATGTACAACAGAGAGTTCATCAGCCATAGCTTGCCGCTAAAGAGGATCTAGAATAGCTTATTTATAGGAAGTAGGTTCAGAAAGCTTGTAAACATAGGTTAGAAAACGACAAGATGACTCAGAATAATAAGAATAAGCAAAATTAAATAAATAAATGGACTTATGAATACGTTGAGGATGTCGAGGAGGTTGTGGAGCAAGAGTTGGATCAATAATCTCAGACGGTGCTTGGGAGACATCAAAGGAGAAGGGGTATTGTGAGCCAGCACATGTGTACCTGTAGTACATGAAGGATTAACAGTACACTAGGTATGAGAAGATGTTCTATCAATATCATCAGAGAATGGATCAATATGAATGAGGTTAGTTTTAGTCACGTCATGAATATTATCAGAAATAGAAAAAATGGGATATGCTTGAGAAGCACGACATGACGAGCAACATATAATTTTTTTTTATCAAAACACCAATGCCTTTTTTAGCCTTATCTATAACCTAAGAAAATATAGATAGCAAAGTGAAATGTTAACTTACTATATTCCGCTTCAGGACGAATAACGAAGCAAGTAAAGTAAAAAAACTCTCAATAAGAATAATTAGGAGGATATCCAAACAACGTTTCAATGGATGATAAGCCTAAAGTGTGGAGATGGAATATTATTAATTAAAGACACAGTAGCGAGAACTGCTTCTCCCCAAAATTTATCGAGAAATTTGGCGGACAAGCGAAATGAATGAGCAGTTTTGACAATGTGCCTATACTTTAATTCAACAACATCATTTTGTTGTGAGGGTGTTAGTACACGAGGTTTGATGAATGTCACATCAAGAGCAAGCAATTCAGATAAATCAGTAGAAGTATATTCTCCACCCAAGTCAAATCTAAAGCACTTAATTACAATAAAATGTTGAGTTTTAACAAGTGCTCTAGAAAATGATAAATATAAAGAAATTCATAATGTAGTTTCATAAGATAAACCCAACACTAATGACTATAATCATCAATAAAAGACACATAATATCCAGACCCTCATTCTATAGGAATAGGAGCAGGTCTCCACAGATCAAAATAAACAAGATCAAATGGTACAATAGAATGAGAGAAAAGGGTAAAATAGAAAATTTAACTAATTTGCAACCACTACAATTAGAAATATCAAGAGTTATCAAATCTCCTGATTGACCTATAGAAACTAAAATTTCAAATGAATAATGAAAACATGTCCAAGGCAAGAATGCAACAAATAAAAACTAGAAGAAGAGGAATCAAAGAAAAAGATGACAAGTTAACACCAGTAGCTACAATATATGGTATCTCAGATTGTCCAGAACATAAAACCCTCGTTGTCTACAGCTTATCACAATTAGCTTCTGAGATTGAGGATCTTGCACATGACAAACAGTAGAAGAAAACAAGACTAAGTATCCAGAATCACACAAGTATCCAATAGAAATAAGATTCAAAGAGCTGAAACACAATAAATGTTTGAAGCAATAAATTATACATGTTAGCAGAACCAACACCCATTAAAGGCAATGATGTACCATCAACAGTCATTACAGACATGGACAAGTTAGAATGGCACAAGTCATTAAGGAAGTTTAAGTTAGATGACATGTGTTTGGAAGCCAGTGAGTTAAAGATCCATGAGGAGAAAAAAAAATACTTGAGAGACTCTAGAATAACCAACCTATATGAGTAGAGGATGACATAACATGTGGCTGTGTAGTTAAAAACTTTTGAAAATGCTCTGCTAAATTAACCAATATGGGACTAGAGGAAAGTAGTGCTTGAAGTATAGACAAGTCACCAGGTGGTAGCTCTGTTAGCATTGGGACGATAGGATCACTGTTGTGGCTGTTGCTTCTTTAGTAGCTTAGGATATTGAGACTTTCACTACCCCTTTTGTTTGCAAAGATACACTCATCATTAGCAACTCGTGCATAACCTTTGTTTTGATTCTGTGTGAATGGTCGAGAGAGTGTAGCAAACATCGAGGTGCTAGATGGAGGAAGAGATACTTTTTCTATAAGATATTTCAAACATGTTTCCTCAGCTACAAGTTTA